TTATAGAAAAAGTGAAAGGTATATCCCTTATTGTGGAGTTAACCATTAGTATCAGTGTTGTCCTTGCCTTTGCAACACGTGTCTTTACCCACTTATTTCCCTGCTCCTCTATCCACCAGGATACCCATCCATTTCTACCCACTCTCTTCACATCTGTCTCCCATTGACCAGTCCTTGATCTAATAGCTTATATATGAAGCATCCTTGGCTTCTGTGATTCCAAACACGTCGGCTTCTGGTAGTTTCTTATGTTGGGACCAGTGTCTCTGAAGTTTAGTGGTAATGTTTCCTGAGTGAAGGCGATGTGTCCTGTAGAACTGGTGTGTAGATAGGCTGCAGGCCCTCGGGCCTGAATGACTTCCGCGTGGGTTTGACCTCTTCAGTGTTACCTGGGAAGTGGCAGGGAGTTCTACAGGTCACACACATACACGGTCAGTTTTATTCTAGTTCAATTTACAAAGTAATGCAATTTTACTCTGGTTCATTTTACAAAATAATGCAAAAAATGCACATGCAGAAAACATGTGTTCCTGTTTATACTTACTGAGAGCATAAACTAGTCCTCTAATGATAATGGTAATTCTAGGACTTCTGATGGGAAGAAAATGAATTGTGCTGTTTTGGGTGAAGAGCTAACTCAGTGATGTGAGTCACTGCATGACCTCGGTGGGTCTGCCTGGAAGGAGGTGAAAAATCACTGAACTTGTTTTTCGTGGTTAATGCTTTCTACTGTATGCGAGAATGTAGGCAATATTCCAAGTTATGTGTCCCCCAGTGGCTGTAACGAGGTCCTCCTTGTGCACGAGCTGCGTGTCTTCTCTTCTTTATGACCATCACTTTCCTGCCTCCCTGTGTATATAGGGTGTGTGACAGTTATGGCAGCTGTGGGGACCGTAACTTTAAGTTGTGTGGCTTTTCTGTGAGTAAAACCAACCATACTGTTGGATTAACTTAATTCTTCCATGTTTATTTAATTTCCATGTTATTGTGAGTGGAGGACTTCGCTCACATGCGAGTTAACGCTCAGTGCTTGCTTTTTAAAGCCTGTGAGTGATACTGCTTATGTGAGCTAATTTTCCGTATTAATTGGCATTAGCAAGTAGAGTGAGGCAGATGTGGCGAAGTATAGAGTGAGCTATTCTGAGAGATGATATAGTAAAAGCATTTATCTGTCAGTGTTCAACTTACAAGTCAAAGAAAGATACCAGATGACCGTGGCACTTGACTAATAGCCATGCATTTTCCATAGAAATTATGTTCTTAGTGCAGGTATTCGTATGGAATTGTCTTCAAACAGGACTGATTGGGTGGAGCCTTGATTCTTTAATAACACAGGAGACTAACTTTTCAGGCATGGCATCTCAGAGGGCATCAGTTTCTGGGGCTCCCAGCTTGTTGCCACGGCTGTCTTACTGGTTGACTTTGTAAACCAGAAAAGACAGATACTGAGCTTGTGGGAAAGATGGCCTGTGAAGGCAGGGCAGAAAGGCATTTGACACTGGATTTGAATAGGAGTGTTGGTCATGGCTGTGGGATAATCGTCACACAGTCTTGTTTTGACTCCTGGGGGCCCCTTTGACACATGATGCAATTTATGGGGCCCATCTAAGAGCCAGAGAGGGAGGTGATTTGACACAGGATGTGCCCCCTCCTTCCTTGTGCTACCAGACCATGGCCACACACAGAGGTGGACCAGCATATGCTCCCTCCTTTCTTATGTTACCAGGCCATCTCCGTACATAGAAAAGTGGCCTTCTTTCTGACTGAGCAGTGCAGTGCTTCTGGTGGCTGAGATTATAATGTCTAGTTGAGAGCTTGGTGGCTGAGTGATAAGGAGCTGTGCTGCCAACCCAAAGCCGTGTGATTCGAATCCACCAGCGGCTCCACAGGAGGACAGTTTCCTCCCGTGCAGTTTACTGTCTCTGAAAACCCACTGGAGGGGCAGCTATGGATTGGTTCTAACTCAACGGTACACAACAACAACCACAGTATCAGAGTGGGGCTCTGAGAAAAGTTGTAATGTCTTCCTCCTGCCTGACAGGGTCTGACCTCAACTAAATCTATTCATAATCAAGACACATTAGACTTGCACTGGGGAAGGAGACAGTGAGAGAACCACAGATAAGAAGAATAGAAGATTACCCCATTCCCAGCTGAAACACTAACCAAGTCACAGTAATTCCGGTCAATTTGCAGTCCCACCTGATGCCACAGCTTGCAAAATTGGTTGACCAGAAAGCCAGGCTTTCTGGTAACTCTGTACTCTTCTCAAACAAACAATGCAAACTCTCCTAGGCTGAAAACTAGCCTAGGTCTCTCTAGCTCCCAGAAGCTTTACTTGAGAGAGGGTGTATCTTATAGGAGCAGCCCCCCATCTAGCCAAACTAGACAACTCTGGCCCCTCCCCATTTGGTGTGGAGTTGACTGTAGACTCTGTATGTGTCAAAGTGGAGCTGTGCTCTGCCGGGTTTCCAATCACTGATTTACTGGGAGTAGATCACCTGGCCTTGCTTTCGCAGTGCCTCGACACAGACTTGCTCACCGGCCTTTCAGTCAGCATCCAAATTTGCACCACTCGGAGACTCTTGCATTGTTCTCTGTGTTGCTTTCATTCCTATTTGTGTCCTCAGTCTCTGTCTCCATCCTGGCTTGGCCTGTAATTATTTAAGCATTCTCTACAGACTGCCTTCCAGTCTCCAGATTTGCAATAGCTGTAGTTACCCCATCTTGCTTGGAGGAAAAAAAATACCTAATTTTTCCCCCCATCTAAGAAATCAGTCCTGGCTTATATGCCAGACACTCTGCTCTTGCCCCTTAGTGCTGGGAAGCAGCATCCTCATGTTCAGCTAAGTGCCTTCATCAAGAGCCTGAGATGTTCTTGACATGGTTGTATATGAACCCTGACATATTTGAGAACTCTGCTGTGACTCCTGTTAACTAGAGAATGACACACCTTTTGTTATTCTAAGGAACAATATCCAGGGTACACTAAGACACATTTAATTACATAGTCACCTTCAATACTGAGGACTTTTGTTTCGAATTTGCATTTTTTCATGTTTCTTGTGGGAGAAAGCATTTTAATTGATGAGCCAAAGGTTGTGTGTTCTGGGAAGGTACAGTTGGAATACATTTGTTCAGACCCTGTTTTGAGACGTTTGTTTCTCGAAGGACGTGCTGTCCTCAGTTACCGGGATCAGTTTGGAAGGTCTGCGCCGAGGTGAGCGCACATGGAGAGGGACGTGGCAGAATGGCCCTGCTGCTTCCCCTTCTTCACTCTCCGTGAACATTCCAGTGAGCTGGGGACGCCTGGGGGGCTAGTGGGAGAATGCAGTCAGTGAATAGGATGACAGAGGTCACAGCCATGCAGTCAGCCTTGGCCATCTGCTCCTGCCACACAGGTGGAGTGGCAGCCCACCCACCTGAAATGGAGTATGCCAGTGTCAGATTTCCAAAGTGAAATGTTATGAAGCAGATGGCCTCATGGAGCAAGCCCACAGTGGCAGCTTGGCCTGCTGTCCACTCTCTCAGAGCTCTGGTCGGAACCGACTCATAGCCGCGCCTCCAGCAGGTTTTCAGAGATTGTAAATCACGCAGGGAGATTGACTGTCTTTCTGCTTTAATCACGTAGGAAGATTGACTGTCTTTCTACTTTGAGCAGCTGGTGGCTTTGAACTGCATGCCTTTTGGATTGGCAGCACAACTCCTCACCACTTAGCCACCAGAACTCCCTTTCAATGTTGTTGTTAGGTGCTGTTGCTCTACTGTGAGTTATACAGTAAAAGCTCTAGAATCTTAATGTTGTTGTTGTTATGTGCCATGGAGTCGTTTGTGACTCATAGCAGCCCTGTATACAACAGCCCTGAAACCTGTTCTATCCTGTGCCAACTTTACTGTCTCTGACTCACCTACCCTTATTGCCCTGGTCACTGTATCAATCCGTCTCATCGATGGTCTCCCTCTCTTTCTTTGTCCCTCCACCCTTTCAAGCATGATGTCCCTTTCCAAGGACCTATCCTTCCTTGCAACATGCCTACAGCATGTCAGATGAAGCCTCAGAATCTTTACCTCCAAAGAGCAAGCTGGCTTTACCCTCTAGGATAAACCTGTTTGTTCTCCTAGCAGTCCATGGTATATTAAATACTCTTTACTAGCATCACAGCTCAAAGGCATCAGTTTTCTTTCTATCATCCCTCATCATTGTCCAGCCCTCAGTTGCATAACAAGCAATTGTGAAGACTATGGCCTTGATCAGGTGCACCTTAGTCTCCAGACTGATGTCATTGCTCTTCAGTACTCTGGAAAATCAGCTTCCCTGACAGCTGACTTTCCCAGTGTAATACACCTCTTGATTTCCTGGCTGCTGGTACCAAGAGAGTTGATTGTGGAGCCAAGCAAACTAAAGCTGTTAACAATCTCAATCTCTAATCGTCAAGAGTAGTAAGTGTAATCCTTCTCTGCTTCCCCATCTGTCAAGGTGTTGAGCTGTGACAGCTTACATGTTGCTCTGATACTAGACATTAGGCCACCAAATTGTCAAATACCAGTAGTGTCACTGACTTTGGACAGATTTCAGAGGAACTAAATAGTATTAAGACGGCAGAGAGACTAGGAAGAAAGGTGTGACAATCTACTTTTGAAAATTAGCCAATGGAAGCACCCAGATCACAACAGAATGTTTTCTGAAGTGGTGCTGTAAGATGAGACAAATATAGGGAAGTAACAGTGATCTTGAGCCCAACGACTGAACATGGAACAAGCCCAGGCTAAACCACATGTGGGCTACCACAATTCAGTCATCTCAACAGCAGATGTTTACAACAGGAACAGTGTTTCTGCTATTGATATAATTCTTATCTTTTTCTTCTTGGAAAGCTAAGCACTTAAAAATTATGATAATAACTCACTTTGAATTCTAACAAATCCATATTGGGAAGAAATATAAATCCTATGGACTGATCTTTTTAAAGCAGGCTTTTTCTCTTTCTTTTGACTTTCAGAAGTCGTATGGAAGTGGTGATCTGAATGCTTCTATGACTACTCAGCATTTCCAAGAACATCCTGTAAGTGAGATTCCTGATAAACACAACCATTCAAGTAAATATTGTAAACAGCCCCCCCCTCCCCGTGTTTGGGTTTGTACTGGCATGCCTCTTATTTATAAAGAAAACTAAACTGCATCCACGCACAAAAAAGCAGTCCTTGAAAATGATGTCTGGGAAAGATTAATTCAGTGTCTATTGATTTGTCTGTTTGAGATAGATTCTTCTAAAAATATACAGCTGCGATGAAAGTGAGTGAAAAAGCGAGAGAGAGAGAGCCATTTTGAAAGGCTTTGAAACACAGGTGGGGAAACGTCAAAAGAAAGCAGTCAAGGATAACTTAGCCACACAATCGATTAAATGAATATCAAATCAGTGAATGATAAATTATTTTGCTTTCCTTTCTCTTTGAGGAAAGAGGAAAATTTGAGCTGGTTCAAAGCTTGAATTGTGTTAGTTTAATAGCTCTTCAGAGATAGACTTGGGTTAGATATGATAGCTTGTAGGCATTGATACTTACTGGAGGGGGCAATGAAGTGAGGTGGGGGAGATGGAACTATTAAGGGTCCAAATGGGAAATATTGGTGATGGGGCTGGAGAAGTGGGGAGTGTGGATATAGAAACAGTGATGGCGGGAGCACTGGATGGAGACACAGTGTGTCTCATGGGATCCTGGGCCAGGGGCCAGGTTTGCAGGTGATGAGCTGAGTGGTTGAGAAGTGGAGGGTTTGATTGCATCTGCAGGATGTGGTGGGGTTGTTGAACAGCAGAGAACAGAGAGGCATTCACACTGGAGCTAGGAAGTGCTGCCAGGCATCCTGTGCCCTCTGGCCCCAAAGCTACACCTCATGTGCCAAGTCCTGTCTCAGAGCTCTGCCCTGAGTCACACAGAAAGGCCATCCTGCAGTAAGTAAGAGAGACGACAACTATGTCAGGTGTTGGCCTGCCTGTTAGTTTTCTTCATGGAAAGTTAATCTTGCAAAGATAGGATCATGATTGCATCTGGTTTCTGACAAAATTCTCCTGGGGAGAAACGTGATTAGAACATTAACAGAAGAGTAAAACCATGTTATCAAAGTCTGTAAGAGGTGGAAATAACAGGTGAGATTTTGCTAGCAGAGCCACCTTTTATTTTTGCCTCCTTAAATGCAATGTCTGTAGAATTCTCTTGCTTGAGCTCATAGTGACTTGGACTGTTTTTTCATCCTGTGCAGGCTGTTGGGGAAGCTGGGGATGGACTGAGGAACCTCCCCAGCCCCTTTGCCTACCTCCTCACCATCCACCTAAAGGAAGGCCGGAACCTTGTCATCCGGGACCGCTGCGGTAAGCACATAGCCAGGAAGCCTCTTTCTTTCTTTTTTTTAAATTATTATTGTTATTAACTTTAATGAAAATTTACAGAGATTTTGGATTTCCATTCATTCATTGTTGCACTTTTCTCCCTGCCCACCCCTCCCCTCCAGTTCGTTCTTCTCTTTGAAAAGCGAAAGAAAAATTCTTTCATTGTTATACAATCCCTCCCCTCAAGTCCACTCCTGTATGCAGCATTCATTCTAGACTCGTGTCATGGCAATAATACCTAATCATATATACCTTTTAAACAGTTCTCTCTCTCTCATCTGTTTCAGTGCAGTATACACAATTTATCCAATCTTTCTCAGTCTCCCCCCAACCCTGATGTCAGTCCCATTTTACAACAGTGGCACCATGCTTTGTTTGTCCTTTTGTGACTGAGATATTTCACTTAGCATAACTGCCTCTTTCTTTCTATAGTCATTGTTAGTCACATTTCTACACCTCAGCCAGATGTACAGCAGAGCAGAGCTCTGATGTAAACTTCTCCAGGTATCAAGGAACCTGCATCCAGTGGTTTAAATGCATTCAACCACGTTGTCTTTTTCTGTTATAAAATCAATGACAGTCACATAAAGTTGTTTTAGAATGCAGTGAGATAGCTAGAATGGCTCAGGGCCTGGCTCATAGCAGCTGCTCAAGTAAATGGTCTTTGGGAACCACTTTACTTACCATGAAAGAGACATTCGCATGACTTTGATGAAATGGAACATAAGTAAATGTAAATGCCCTTCAGACCTTCATCGTTTCCTGCTGTGGATTATCTGTGTGTGACTGCTTTGTTCACCTCGATCAGTATAGCTGTAAGGAGTCTTGGTGGCACAGTGGTTAAGCATGTGATTGTGAACAGGTAAGTCAACGGTTAAAACTTACTTGCTGCTCTGTGGGAGAAAGTGTAGGCATCTGCTTCCATAAAGATGAGCAGCCTTGGGAATCCTCTGGGCTGTTCTGCTCTGCCCTGGAGCACGAAGTGATTTACGGTTGGCTCTGCAGCTGGGAGTTGGTTTTTGGGGCCTGAGTGTAGGTGTATATAAGACAGTAGTATAGCAGATTTGTTGTGCTGTTAACAGAAAGCTCTGTACCTTGCACCCACTGTTCATGGGAGAGAGACAGACAGTCTCCTCCTGTGAGGAACCGGCAGCTTCAGTAACTCAGCGGAGGGTTGTCATGTCAGGAGACAAAATCAGCTTCATGGCAGTGCAGCTTTTAAATCTACCTGGAAGCAATGAATGGAAGTGGTACTATCATGTCCCTATTTTTCCCAAGTAAGCTTTTTTCCTATTGACAGTATCTAGATAGACTTTATGTCTATCATTTAAAGTATCTCCTTTATTCTAAGCTACAACCTGTTCCATAATGTAACATGTTAATCTGTTTTCCTACTGGACATAGTGTCGTGTTCACCACCCCCCCCACCCCCACCCCGGGCTCTCTCTGAAGCCTAGGCGATGGTAGAATGAATGTCTTTGTGAATGTCTCATTCCTTTTACCCTTGTACTGGCATTGTTCATCGGGTGAGAATATACCTTACATAAAAAATTGTTAGCTGAAAAGTATCCCTTAGAAAAACATCACTACTCTTTTTCATCCCTGGAATGAAACGTGTGTATTTTCTTCCTGGTGAACTCCTTTTGTTGCCCCCATTCCTCTCTTTTTTGAGCAGATATTATGTGAACAAGGGGGTTTGTGAATCCTTTAATTGGTCCTCTGTCTCTGCTTTTTTCTCATTCTCCCCATTGTTTTTCCCTTTTAAGAGGAATCGCTTGGCTTGAACTTACTTATTTTTGACTTCGTTTCTTGTCAGCTCTTACTATTGTACTTTTCAACTCCTCATCTACCAAGTTGCCATTTCAGTGCAGAGGGTGTTGCCTGGCTGGCCCAAAAGCAGCACCTGTCTGCGGGTCAGGTCCCCCGGAGGCTATAGTGATTGACCCTTATCAGGGGTTTCTCATCTGAGGGACCGCTGTTGTTGTTGTCAAGTTGAAGTTGGGGTCTAGCTGAACTTCCAGCAGGGTTCCCACAGCTGTAAAGCACAAGAGAGGAGACTGCCCACACTTCCTACTGAGTGGCAGCTGGTAGGTTCCAGCTATTTGGTTTTCCAGCACACTCTGTACCCACTAGGTCACCAGAGCACCCTGCACTTCTAGCTGCAAACTTTTGCTTTTGCCTATATTTTCCTTTTTGTAATAACCTACTCTTAATTTCATTTTCCCTTTTCAACATTTTATGAGCAATATGATATCTTCTCTGTCCTTGAGAATATTAATTTCACATTTTGGAATCTTCTGGTCGGCCCTTCAGTCACTTGGCTAAGTGCTCTTTTGCTGTCTTGTTCTAGCATCTTTACGGTGTTAGATTCCTCTGGGTGTTTAATGTTGTGCTCACTGTCCATTTGCATAGCTCTGTTATGCCACCTGTGGATGCTATTTTTGTTGAAGGTGACCTGTCTCTTGGGAAGGTCTGAGACCTGCAGTTGGACTAGGTGAACCAGTGGTTCGTGCTGCCTCCTTCGCATTCATCTGCCTTACAGCTTGCCTCTTTGGCTTTTTTTACACACACATAGTTTCTTCCTGCAGTGCTTTGTCTGATAGAAAGAGGGCAGGGAACTCCTGGTTTACCGGCCACATGCGCTGTCAACCAGTCATCTTGATGGTTGCATAGGCCCTGCTTTCCTTTCTGTCTTCAAGTTTGGAGCATCTCTGCTTCTCTTGTGACATATTTTCATCCCCTGTAGACTATCAGTGTTGCTGCTTTGACATCCATGCTCATATTTTCCACTATAGGTTCCTCTATATCTCTGCCCTCACTGATCTTCCACCTGGTGAGGCTATGTGAAATATGTTCACTTTGCAACACCCGCTGCCTCAATGAGTTCTTTTCTTCTGAGTATATTTTTCTCACATGTAGTGTTTCCAAGTGTTGAAAAATTTAATGTTCTGCTTGTTTATACAAAGTATTTATTGCCAAATGCATAAATTATTATCTATCAGTCTGTACTTTCTTATGGTTTGTGGGAGGTTCTTCAGGGATATGTGACCATATATAATATGTATCTGCTCCAGCCCTCCCCACCTTGGATCCTCTTACATGATCTGCAATCATGGTTTTATACCATATTTGTCTTTATGGGACTCGGTTCACTGAACGTAATGTTCTTCAATCCCTCCCATGTTAGGTAGCAATTTAAAAAAATCTTTACTCCTCTGTGCTGTGTAGTATTCTAGCGTGTGAATGTACTGTTATTTCTCAATTCATTTGATTCTGTTTGGACATTTGGACTATTTCCATGTTCTTGCAATAGTGAATAACATTGCTCTGGATATTGGTATGCAAGTCTCCGTTTGTGTCTCAGTTCTCGTTTTCTTGAGATGTTCCAAGCAGTGGGATATCTGTGTCATACGGAATTTCTAAGTTCAGCTTTTTGAGGAAATGCCAAACTGCCTTCCAGAGTGGTTGTACCATTTTACAATCCCACCAGCAATGTATAAGAGTGCCTTTTTCACCACATTGTCTCCAACATTTATTACTTGCTGTCCTGTTAAACTTTGTCACTACTACTGGAGTGAGATGGTATCTCTCATTGTGGTTTTGATTTGCATCTCATATTGCCAGTGATTTTGAGCATTACTTCACGTATCTGTTGGCAATTTGAATATCTTCCTCTGTGAGGATGGGAACGAAGGAGTGAGGATGGGTGGGGATGGTGATGGGGAAGTTAACTATAGAATCACACAATTTGATGGTGGAGGGAGACATGGGAAAAGGAAATGATAAAAATCCAGTGTGAAAAACAATGTATACATACTCTCTAAGTAAACGCGTATAAAATAAAAATTTTATTTAAATTTAAAAAATTTTAAAAATCTTAAAGAAAAAGAAAAGATGGAAGAAATACAGTCACTCTAAAAAAAAGGCACTGTTTAGCTTTTTCAGGAGGTAGCCTATGGTGAAGCAACAACGGAGTGCTCTATAGACTGCAGAACTGAAAGACAGTCTAGAATGTGTGGCTAGTTGTCTTCATGAACTACTTTTTCCTTTGCCATGAGACCAGAAAAGCTGAATGGTACAGAGCTACCATTACTGAACATTTGGATCAAAGATTGTGCAGGTTTCCTCTTACAAAAAAATGGGTGACATTTCAAATTCTCATGTCTCAAAGGGGCTTAAGAATTTCTTGAGCCATTGCTATTATATAATACTAGACTTTTTTACACCAAAGTAATTTAATTTAATAATAAATAATAGAATTTAGCTTTAAGAAAGAAAAAGATGCTCTAAGTCCTTCGTTCAAGCCACTGTCCATCAGTTCTTAGCTCTTCAGACTTGAGATGGGCCATATCATAGTCCCTTTGCTTTGTCAGTCAGTTAATTCATGCAGTCAGTTTTAGCTCCAGCTGCTTCACAGTTGGATTGATGTACAGAGGAACTTGAACCCTGAAGGGTTTGTGAATAAAAGTTTATTTTGGGGCCTTAGCGCTGGCAATACTCATTTCAGAGCTTTCGTCTTTGGGCTTCATTTGAGTACAAGCTTGGTGATACAGCCAGGTCACTTGTCCTCAGTTGTTAATCCTAGAGCAGTGGCAGCAAAACCTGTGTGAGAACTGGAACTGGAGAAGACAATCTTATTTTTCTCAGTGTGAAAACTCTCCTTATTGACAAGGGTGGAATCTCACTCTTTTCCTAACTAGGGAGCTCTGGTGGCTTAGTGGTAAGAAGCTGCGCTGCAATCCCAAAGGCAGCTGGTTCCAGTCCACCAGTTGCTCCCCAGGAGGAGGATGGGTAATCCCCTCCCATGAGATTAACTGCCTCTGAAAACCCTCTGGAAGGCCAGCTGTGGGTGGATTCCATCTCGGCAACATACAACATTATTTTTTTCAGTACAAAACATTTGAGATTTTCTTCTCAGCATAGTTTCTGCCTTACACAGATTTCCTCTTTCTCGGATCTTACTGTACAGTAATTGCTGGAAA